ATATATATGTAAAATCATACTATACATACTTCTGTTTATCCATTCATTCTCTGGATGTGGATAGCCTCTTCCTTCATAGGTCCTTTGTAGTTGATTTGAGTATTTATGATACTTACAATTACTTAAGTCATTCAGAGTTGTTCTTAGAACAATACTGGTGTTAACTATGTACCACATTCTTTTGGTTCTGCTCATTTCACTCTTTCATTATTTCATTCAAGTCTTTTCCATGTTTTTCTAAAATCAACCACAATGTTCCATTTTAAGAGGTATAGTAAAGATATTAGATAAAGCCCAAAATATATGTCCATATTTTTATAGATATATAGATATAGCTGTCTCTATAAAGATATTTTGAAGATTGATAAATTTTTACAATCCTATTATCATTTACAATAAAAAGTAACCACTAACCATTCTCATTAAAGCAAACCATAACTTTTTTATTGTAAAAAATCTAATATCATAACTATACCTTTTAAAATGGAAGATTATTTAATTCTTCAATTTAAATAGTCACAGCAACAATTTTTCCATTTCTGGCATTTTTCAAGCTATCAGCAGTGTAATTTAAAAGAAATTACTGTCCTGCTCAACCATACTCAGTTTTTATCTTTAGTTTCTTTGCACCATTGCTATTTTACAATAATAAAGTTACGGTTTGCTTCAATGAGAACTAGGGTTAGGGTTAGGGTTACTTTTTATTGTAAATGATAATGACATTATAAGTAATTGTGTTTTTTATTAAACAAAACCTGCTTTAAAGCTGCCTCAGCTATGTTCTGATAAACTGATAATTTTTATGCCAAAATCATAAAAATTGATATGTATCTAAATATTGCATAAAGTGGTATAGAGACTGGTTGAATAGCTTTTCAGATGTTCAAACAGCATAGTTGGTTTCTACCCAGGAGACTTTTAAGACTCAACATTATCCATTTGAAGGCTTGTAGTTCTATACTCTCTGTTATATATTAGTTGCTATTGCTTCAGTTGTAAAACATAAGCCTTAGAGTGTGAATAGTATGATGCTGTGTAATATAATTTATTTGAAAAATTTGGCAAATACTTGTAGATTTCTTAAGTGAAGTCATTTTTGTAGGTACTCGAGCAGTTTTATTTTGAAAATATAAAGCTACTAAGAATCCTTTTTAAAATATGTCACTTATAAAAATATAATTCATTCACAAAAAAAAAGCTTTACAGTGTGTGGTATGTGATATCAAATAAAAAATAAAATTTCAAATCTTACAGCTTAATTGGGCTTGTATATTTTCTCATCCTAAATATGAAATTAAGCAAATAGATTCTTGTTACTTGTGTGAAGCTCCTACTTAACCATAAAATAAAATGCTCTTATTGAGTTTGCCCTGAAGATAAGGTCCACTGTGGCAGTGCTGTCCATATATGGTGGCTATGCATGGAGAGCCAGGTGGTGCTGCAAAGCATTGAACAGTGAAGCGTGCACTTATCTAGGTTTGACATTTGTCATCCCATACTGCTAAAGGGAAAGGAAAAATCTGCTTTTCCATATGTTTATGCTTTTTTTTTGCCTGCAGTTTTGTCCAGATGGTCTGGTGAACATTGTTTATGTTAAGATGTTATCCCAGATGTTTTTGAACACTCATATGTACACAAGTATAGTACACTAATCCACAAATTATTTGCATATTTTAACTTTAAAGATTTTTTTTGTGGATGACATGGAAAGTTGACAGAACTTTCTTCTTGAAAAGTTCCTAAAGTGAATAATAGCATATCCCCACTACCACTCAGCTACTTTATTGCTGTCAATTTAAAATTATGTATTTGGTGATATTTAAATTGTTAGGTTGTGGTAGTACAGTATAAAAATATCAGCTAAGGGACATAATTGCAAATAACTTTGTGCTTATGAAAAGTTTATTTTTATTATCAATATGCAGATTAAAGTATTTGATCTTTACTTGGAAAATATGCTGTTCAGGTGTTTTGTGTTTTTAGTTATTTCCACATGTGTCAGTAGAGAAAGTTTTTTTAAGTGTCAAAACGTATAGACAACTTCTTAATCAGTACATTTTGTTTCAGTTTCTGTATTAGGAAATACATATTATTCGGCAACAGTTCATTCAGTGAGGTATTAAAAACGTGAGAGATAGGAAAGCATACTTCTAACTGCTAGCAGTTAGATAAAACTAAGCATAATGTCATAAAAATTAAACCACGAAACACTTATTGGACAGACACTTGTAACAAATGCTAGCCACCTACCAAAGCAGAAAAAAAAATTTTCTGTGCAAAGGCTGTGAGAGAAAAAAATCTAACTTTGTATAAGATGAATGGGTTGGGCTAGATGACTACTGGTGTCTTCCAACACTTTCAGACCTCAAATTATTTTTATGAAGCAGTAATATCATTATTTGGTACTATTTTAAAGCAGAAAAAGAGATCAGTGAAACAGATTAGACAAGAAAGGTTCTACTATATGCCAAGCACTGTGCTAAGTTCTGTGGATACAGAAAGAGAAAAATGACAATCTCTGCTGTCCAGGTGCTTACAGTCTAACTGGAGAAACAACAAAGCAATATATAAAAACAAGCTGTATACAGGGTAAATAGGAAATAATTAAGAGAAGGCAGTCATTAGAATTCTGAGAGAAGAATTAAGGAAAGGCTTTTCTCTCTCTCTCTCTTTTTTTTTTTTTGGTTAGGCAATTGGGGTTAAGTGACTTGCCCAGGGTCACACAGCTAGTAAGTGTCAACTGTTTGGTCTGAGGCTGGATTTGAACTTGGGGCCTCCTGGCTTGAGGGCCGGTGCTCTATCCACAGTGCCACCTAGAAGCCCCGAAAGGCTTCTGTGGAAGATGGAATTTTAGTTGAAACTTAAATCTGGGAAGCCAGTAGGCAGACATGGGGAGGGAGAACATTCCAGGCCTGGATGATGGCCAGACAAAATGCCTGGATCAGAGAGACATGGAGTGTTTTATTCATGAAACAGCAAGGCAGCCCATGCTGCTGGATTAAAGGATACATGGCAAGGAGTAAGGCATAAGAAGACTGGATAGATAGGAAGGGGCTAGATTATGAAGGGCTTTGAATGCGAAACAGGATTTTGTCATTGATCATGGAGGTGATAGGGAACCAATGGAATTTCTTGACAAGGGGGGTGATGTGATGGGATCTGCATTTTAGGAAAATCACTTTAGGAAAATCTAAATGGAGGATGGATTAGTGTGGGGAGAGACTTGAAGCAGACAAATCCAACTAGCTGGCTATTGGCAGTAGCCAGGCATGAGGTGATGAGGAAAGTCTGTACCACAGTGGGCAGTGTCAGAGGAGAGAAGGGGTATGTTCAAAAGATGTTGCAAAGGTAAATTTAACGGACTTTGGCAACAGATTGGATATAGAGGGTGAGAGATAGTGAGGAGAGGAGAGTGACTTCTGGGTTGCTAACCTGTGGAACTGGAAGGATGGTGTTGCCCTTGACAGTAATAGAGAAGATAGAGAGGAAAGGGTTTAGGGAAAAAGATAATGAGTTCCATTTTGGACGTGTTGATTTTAAGGTGTCTATTGGATATCAAGTTCGTGATGTCTAAAGGCAGTTGGAAATGTGAGACTGGAGGTCAGCAGAAAAATTGGGGCAAGATAGGTAGATTTGAGGCTTATTGGAGTAGAGATGGTAATTAAATCAGTAGGAGCTAATGAGATCATCAAGTGAAGTACTATTGAGGGAGAAGAGAAGAGGGCCCAGAACAGAACCCTATGGGACACCTATGTTTGGTGGTCTGGAGGATTTGGAGGAAATACAGCAAAGGAGACAGAGAAGGAGTGGTTGGATAGGTAGAAGAACCAATAGAGTGATGTCTCAAAAACCTAGAGAGAAGAGAGGATTGAGAGAGAGTGATCAATAATATCTAAGGCTGCAGAGAGGTCAAAGATAATAAGGATTGAGAAAAAGCCATTGGATTTGGCAACTAAGAGATCATTGGTAAGTTTGGAGAGACCAATTCCATTGGAATGATGAAGTTGGAAGCCAGGTTGTAAGGGTTCAGAAGAGAGTGAGAGGAGAGAAAGCAGAGAGGAAATAGTAGCAGAAGGCATATAAGTAATATGAGATGGTTTGGAAGAAGGAGCTCACAGCAAATTGCCTCAGATTTCAAGAAACTTGTTTATAATTTTTCAAACAATTGGACTTTTTCTGTGTTCTTGGTCTTGGCCAATTTGGAAATGTGTTTTTGGAATCACAAGCTGTCTTTCAACAAAATGGCCATTACAATAAAATTTACATTCCCCTTTTGGGGAATAGCTAGACTAATTATGGTATGTGGATATGATTGAATATTATTGTGCCATAAGAAAGCACAAAATGGACCCTTCAGAGGGAACTGGGTAGATCTCTGTGAGCTGATACATAAGTGAGCAGAACTAGGAAAATAACTTAAATATTGACAACATAGAAAAAAAGCAACTTTCAAAGACTTTACATCTTTGATCCTTGCATGGATCTACCCGAGTCCACACATTTGCATTTATGCAAAATGACATGCATTTTTAGACATGGCCAATGTGGGAATTTGTTTTGTTGGACTATGTATATTAAGGGGGTGGTGGTGTTCTTTTTCTTTTTTAAAAATTTTCATTGCGGGGGGCAGTGAGGGAAGAGAGAATAAATACTTATAAAAATACAGTTTTAAAAAATAGTAAGTTTAATTCTAGATATTGCAGAAGGATAGATAGGAAAAAAGTGTACCAGTCAACCAGTGAATCAGAAAGCATTAAGCTAATCAAATTAACAATCGTTAAGTGCCAGGCACTGTGCTAAAGTACCATATAGTTTTACCCTTGTTATGTACAGTCTTATGTAGTTTCCTTCATGTGAGTTTATTTTTTCATAGATTTATCACCATGCCCCAAAACAGATTTATTTAGCTTCCTTTTCATGAGCTCCATATTCAAGTTAATAATTTTCTAATTTGATTACACACATCTTAAATAATTTGTGGGGTTTGTTTATACTTGTAGGTTCATTTTCCAAAGTAATAAGGCTTTGTGAAGAAAAATGTGAAACAGGTGAAATATGGAAAGGAAAATGCCAAAACAGCAGTTTACCAGCTTCTGTGAAAGGAATTAATAACTTGGGGAACACTTGTTTTTTTAATGCTGTCATGCAGGTAAGATACAAACATTAAGAATTATAATTTTTTAATTTGATTTTAAATACTTTAGAATTGTTTTAATTCTTGATTGCCTTTGGGAAATGGTCTATTCATGAAATGGGAAAGGAAAAGTAACTAAGCCTAACCATTAGCCACAACAAAATTAATATTTATCATAAATGTATGTTAACAGGTACAAGCGTTTCACATAAGAGTAGCCATGACTACTGCCATTTTAAACTTTTGAAGCATGTCAATTCTATTTTTAGTTCCATCTTAATAGAGCCTTTCTTGAATAAATGAATTTTGTTGTTAGTATGGTAATGACATGTTACTTCAATGTTCTTTGCTCAGATATATCCCGAGAGAAAATTTTTTACGTGAAGAACATTATATAAATTGCCATAGACATAAAGATGTAATAGAATCCTTGAAATTTTTTTTTCCACATGGGGTTTTTTAATGCACTGAATATTTAAATGTGGAAAAATGTTATTGGAGTTTTGTTACTTTTTCTGGTTATTGCTAAAATAATACTTTTTGTTCAGCCAGTTACCTAGGCAGTAGTTCTCAGTCAAAATTAAAAATGAAGAAATCATGTTCTATAAGTTAGTGACATGTTTGTTAAGGAAGAAGGCTTTAATTCTGTTTTCTTTTAGAACTTGGCACAGACTCACATGCTCAATGAACTGATGTATGAGGTCAAGGAAAAGGGGACAAAGTTAAAAATTTTTCATACTTCAGACCCTCAGTTGGTAAGTAAATGCATCTGTATAAATTGTAATTGTGCAAGAATGAGCCACCTTCAAAATTCCATACCTGGGATAGGAGACAATGGCTATACATTGTTTTAAATTAAAAAAACAAATCAGTTTGAGCTTAAAACACATTTTTTGTTGTTGGAAAAAAAGATTTTTGTAAAACAAACAAAATACAAAGTTTTGTGAAAGCATGTCCAATTTGGGATGTTAAAACTCAAACGTATGAAATTAGAAAATAACATCTTATGTATGGGTAACATACGTGTGTGTGTGTGTGTGTGTGTACGTACACACATGTAAATAGTACGACATTCTTTTAAACAAAACATTGCATAACTTACAAATGAGTGTTGTTCTTGACAGTATCATCACCTTGGAAAAGCAGTGCATCTCTTTTAATGTAATATATACACAGTTTGGCCTTGGCCTTACATGATATCCTGTCTAAGATCCTATTCTTAGTTTTGAAAAGAAATGTTTCTTTCTCTGTACAATTCTACTCCCCTCCATTTTCCCTTCCTCCACAACCTCTCTAAGTATAGTGCTTTTTAATGTTAGGCTAATCCTTTTCTAGGCTTTTCTGACACCAGATAAGCACAACATCTCAGGTTAATGTCACCTAGGACACTATGATAAATACTTGAAAATTTACTTTTTCTTTGCAAATAAAAGTAATTTTCAAAAATTGTACAGTAAATCTAGATGTGAATATATGTGTGATTCAGCAATGGATTGCTCTTTCCATGCCCTACTGTTTGAGCTGTAGGAGATTCAGAGCAAATTACTAGCTGTGTGACCCTAGGCAAATCACTTAATCCTGTTTGCCTCAGTTTCCTTATCTGTAAAATGAGGTGGAGAAGGAAATGGAAAACCACTCCAGTATCTTTGCCAAGAAAATCCCAAATGGGGTCATGAAGAGTCAGGCATAACTGAAATGACTGAACAACAACAAAAAACCTGTTATCACTGTTCTTTGAAATGAAGTTTATATTCCACTATTTTACTTCTGTGGAAGTATAGTCTCTCTCTTCCCCCTAACTCCCCAGTCTTGCCTTCCATTTAAATAACCCTTATTGAAAGTGGCATGCTTAATTTTGCTTTCAAATTTATGGGTTAAGGGGTTTTCCTCCATGGACTTCTGAAGTTTTTATATGTATAGAGGAATGAGCTATGACCTATATATTAGAATTTGTTTTTAAGAATCGTAGAAGTTGGGGCAGCTAGGTGGCACAGTGGATAGAGCACCGGCCCTGGATTCAGGAGGACCTGAGTTCAAATCCGGCCTCAGACACATAACACTTATTAGCTGTGTGACCCTGGGCAAGTCACTTAACCCCATTTGCCTAGACCAAAAATAAATCATAGAAGTAAGGGCAGCTAGGTGGCACAGTGGACAGATAGAGCAGTGGCCCTGAAGTTAGGAGGACCTGAGTTCAAATCCGGCCTCAGACACATAACACTTATTAGCTGTGTGACCCTGGGCAAGTCACTTAACCCCATTTGCCTAGACCAAAAATAAATCATAGAAGTAAGGGCAGCTAGGTGGCACAGTGGACAGATAGAGCAGTGGCCCTGAAGTTAGGAGGACCTGAGTTCAAATTCGGCCTCAGACCAAACACTTTAGCTGTGTGACCCTGGGCAAGTTACTTAACCCCAATGGCCTTTAAAAAAAATAGTCTTAGAAGTAGCTGTCAATTTATATTGTTATCACTCAGGCAGAAAGCCTTTTTGATATATAAGAACTATAAAGAAGCATAACTTGCCCTTTCTGATATTACCCTAGCAGTAGATTTTTTGATACTTAACTGTACATTGATAATGCTATTAGTAATCATAATTGCCTGAAGCCATGTGGTTACATTTTAAAAGTCACGTTAACAAATTGCACCAATTTTTTTTCTTGCTTTCCCCTTCCTATCTACTCCACACTTTAATACCCCAAATGATACCTGGCTTTGGAACAAGTTCAGCCTATACTAGAAGAAATTAGCTGAGGTCAGTTGTTTTTCAGTTGTGTCCAACTCTTCGTGACTCCATTTGGGGTTTTCTTGGAAAAGATACTGGAGTGTTTTGCTGTTTCCTTTTCCATCTCATTTTACAGATGAGGAAATTGAGGCAAACAGGGTCAAGTGACTTGCCGAGTCACACAGCTAGTAGTAAGTGTGTGAGGCCAGATTTGAACTCAGGAAGATGAATCTTTCTGATTCACGCCTGGCATTCTATGCACTCTGCCACCTTGCTGAGAAAATTTATTCATCAATAAATATGGTGTTCCAAAAGTCTTAGTACAGTTTTACAAATGTGTGGTTTAAGTTAAACCAAACAGCTTAAACAAAACAGTGTAACTTTGTTTTTTTTAGTATGTTCGTTATTAAATATTTGTATTACTGATAGAAAATTAAATTTCTTATTACAGGATCCACTAGTGGTGAACCTGTCAAGTCCTGGAACTCTGACTTCTGCTATGTTTCTGTTCCTTCACAGCATGAAGGAACCTGGAAAAGGACCACTTTCTCCTAAAATTCTCTTTAACCAGCTTTGTCAGAAGTAGGTACAATTACCTTTAAAATAAATATTTGTCTGGTTCCAAAAAGAAATGCTCTCAAGAGAGCACTCAAGTTATTTAATTCGAGTGACTCCTTCATACAGTAATGGTGCTGTTAATACATAGTGTGTTCAGGGCTTTAAAGTTATGGAATCATAGCATTTTAGAGCTAGAAGGGACCATAAATATAATCTAATTTGGCTCCTTCATATTATAGATAAGGAAACTGAGACACAAAGGAATACATTAAAATAACTCCTATGACTTTAAGAATACAAATCACTTACAGTACCCTGTTTGAACTTTCCTAGTAATCATTTCGCTTTTTAGAATAGAAATGATTAAAACATGAAATTGGATTAATTACATAAATACACAAAAATTTTAAAATTTTAGACCCAAACTAATTTTGGTATGAAGTTATATTTAATTTATTACAAATCAAGTTAATTTGACACTTTTAAATGGATTTGGATTTTTTGGATTTTGTCAGTCTTATTCTTTTTGACATATCTGGCCCCTTTTGACATTGTTGATCGTCTTCTTCTCCTTTATACTGTCTCTTCTCTAGATTTTTATTAGCCTGCTCTCTTCTGTCTCTTCTCTTACCTGACTGACCAATCCTCTGTTTCCTATATTGGATCTCACTCCAGGTTACATCTGCTCTTAAGTGGGTATCTTCCAATGCTCTGACCTGGTCACTCTTCTCCCTCTATATGTGCTTTCTTACTTGGTGACCTTATCAAATTCCCATGGGTTTAATTATCATTTCTATGCAAATGATTCCCAGTTCTATATCCAGTCTTAACCTTCCTGAGTTTCAGTCTTATATCACCACTGATCCTTTGGAAATCAAACTGGATCGCCAATAAAGGTTTCAAACTCAACAGATCAAAAACCGATCTCATATTTGTCCTCAAACCTTCCCCTCTTCTAAATTTTCCTGTTGAGAGAAACGTTGCCTTTCTAATCATATTTTAGAGTCTTAGAATCTAAGTGTCATCCTCAGCTTCTCACTCACACTACTCCCAAAAGTCTTTTCTAAATTCACAACTTCTCATATACATCCCCTTCTTTTCACTCATGTAGAAGCCGTGCTGGTGCAGGACCTGAAACATAAGAAAAAACTCAGAAATTTCATTACAAATAATTACAAAAATGCATAAAATGTCCAGTGATCAACCTACCAAAGCACATAAAAGACTCATAGATTCAATTACAAAGTGCTTCTTAAATAAATAAAGAACAACTTAAAATAGCGGGAGGAATAATCAGTGCTCCTGGGTAGGGTACTGGCTGTTTGCTGCCAACTGTAGGTGAGTGGCCTGTAGTCTGGAAAACACAAATCTGACAGAAGAGACTGCAGGGACTAGATTTAGGGCCCAACTTTAAGAGAATAAAATATCCTTAGCTCTGTTTGGATTCAGATAATTCAGTTTTCCAACCATGCAGTATCAAATCCACCTCATAGCCAGACTTGGGAATAGCCAGGTGGGTAACATTCCCTTTCAAAGGAACATAATGGGGAAACTGAGCCAGGAGGATCCCATCTTAGACTTGTTATAAAGAAGACCCCAGACTCAATTCCAAAGACTGGTGTCTCAAAGACTTTTTATTAAAGAGGTTGAAGTGGGTCCTTTCGATTCTCAGGAGAAGCAGGCATACCTACTTGGAAGGGGAGAGTGCGCTGAGTACAGAAGCAAGAGCAAGCTTTATAGTTAGTAATTGCCCTAACTCTTCCCTTCTGGATCAGGATTGGTCCTAAGCCTTCTAGGTTACAATCTTTCTTATATGCCCTGTTCATATATTATATATACATGGGATCCCCACTCCTTAACATACATTTTTTGCCTAGAATTGTGTTGTCACTCCCCCCCGGATGGAGAAGTTAGCCTGTCTGTGCTGATTTCTTATCTACTTATGTGGAAACTTAACTCTTTTATTTCTCACAGACTGAGGCTAAAATTGTCCTCTTAGCTCTTCCCAGTGCTGACTTCCCACCAGTATCACATTCTTTGAGTAACTTGTGGCATTTCTCTCACATGGTGAATTATTGATTTTCAATGGATTATGACCCATCAGACAACTCAAAATAAAATCCTATGAACTTTTACCCCAAACAGCAAGTTTCACTAATCACAGTTTAGGAAAAACTTTTCCAGGATTTACATCTCAAGTTTAAATTTGTCCTGGTATAAAAAACCAACCGTTAGAGATTATTCCTATATAATTGCAAATTCTTAGCAAGACAAAACCCAAACAAGCTTTTTGGCAAGTTTACACATTAAAAAAATAACCAGCAATAGCCAAATTATTTTAGCAGTAACCAAATTATGAAAAGTTGCTTGACATACCTTTGACAAAAGTTACAAAAGGTACAAAAAGTTCACCAATTAGAAACTTGAAACAAATCCACTACCAATCAGGTGACTTCAATTTTGCTAAATTCATTTCCAGATTACTTTACACGGAGAATCAACATCTCATCATTAATAGTTAAAACTACAAATTTAAAAGAGCATGCTTTCCCAAGTTCGGAAGCTAGCTTCTTTACCTTGAGCAGGATGTGCTGACCCTGGGTGATACTTCCAGGCAAAGGTTGCCGTAGGGCCCAAGGCCATTGCCAGGGAGGCCCACACTGTAGCTGCTGCCCCCTCCTTCCTTTCCCAAGTGGGGGAGGGCTGAATCAAAGATGAGGGATAAAGGGTGAAATTCTCTTCTCCTGTGAGAGGGGTTAATAGATACCCTCTTGACTCGAGGGAAGGGAGTGGGAGAAAGGAGTGACCAGGGTTGTAAGGAGGAGTTAAAAACTCCTTAATAATCAATCACAAAACCTCCAGAATTTGTCGAGATAGTTTTAGCTGTTCTAACTTTTCCCTGTAACCTCCATGAAGGAGGATTCAGGGGTGTAGAGGGAAGGGAGTAAGTAAGCCTCAGGGAACTAAAAAGCAACTGCAGTTTTCCCCAATTCCCTAGTGCCAAGAGAATTGACAGAATTGGGCACATACTTGCGGATAGGACATCTGTCCTTGTCCTCTGTACTGCAGAAGGTGTACCCAGGTCCATGGCCTTGAACTGATCCTGTGGACCGAGAGCCTGAGAGTGTCAGGCCAAGTGCAAGACAGCCTCATAACTGTCTGCCCAAAAGGCACTTCCAAGCCTTGGTGCTTGGAGAGTAACCCCAACTGCAAAGCAAGAAAGGAGGTGGGGCAGGGTAGGCTTATGTACCTTCCAGTCTTGGGTAGAGAAGAACTTGGGGTTAGGCAGTGTCCCCATATGGGCCACCACTGGGACCCTAAAATCACAGCATGCGAGTCCTGTAAGAAAGATTTCAACCCAACCTTGCTTTCAGCCAAAAATAAGGTTTATTAAAGATCTGCCATATTAGCCAGACTCTTAAGGAATCTGAGCATCTGTGGACTATTGGCTAGATTGTAAAAATCTGAGCAGTGGCTAGATTATAGGAATCAGAGCCAGGAGCTATACTCTTAGCCAAACAAGAGGTAGAAGCAATTAAAAAAAAGATAAATAACTTGATTTCATGTTACTAAAAAGCCTCTATATAGACAAAATTAATGCACCTGGGAGAAGAGAAGTGGTTGAATGGAAAAAAAATTTTTGGTATCAAATTTCTCTAATAAGAATTCAATATCTATATATGTGTGTATATGTGTGACTAAAAATAGCCATCCCCAAAAGATATGAACAAACTTCTCAAAAGAAGAATTGCAAAGTATTCACAGTCACAAGAAAGAATGCTCCAAGTCACTCATAACAACAGAAATGCAAAACAAAACAACCCTGAGGTTTTACCTCATACTCTGCAAATTGGAAAAAAATGATTAAAAAATGGCAATGGTCAATGTTGGAGGGGTTGTAGAATAATAAGAATGTTCTTGGTGGAGCTCTGATTTGCTTCAACCATTTTGGAAAACAATTTGGAATTAAAATGTCCATACTCTTTGAGTCTGAATCTGAGTTACTGGGCTTATACCCCTAGGAAGTCATCATTAAGAAAGGCTCCATACGCCTCAAACTTTTTATAACAGCACTTTTTATAATAACAAAGAATTGGAAGCATAGTAGATCCCCATCAGTTTGGTAATAGCTAAAAGCAAATTGTGGTACATGCATGTGATGGAATATTACTGTGTTGTAAGAAAAGATGTGTGTGATGAATACCAAGAAAACATACATAGTATAATTTAAATGAAAAAGATGAAAAATGAATGTAATGAAATTATAACAATCAAGCAGGACTGGAATGGAGAGATATTTGAAGACACTCCCAATCCACCCCTTTGTGGAAGTGGAGGGTCCACAAGTGTTTCATATTGCATGTGTTTTGGGACTTCTTCAGTATATCAATCAGTTTTTGCTGATTTTTAATTTTCCTTTTAAAAAAATAGTATTGTATGGGATGGTTCTTTAGGAGGGGGAGTAGGAAGGATACTTGGGATAACTGTGATAATATAAGAAACAGAAGAAATCAACAAAAGCTTATTTTTTAAAAAACTAAAGCAGTGCTCCAGTGTATTTCCAGACAAATCTCCTATTCCTCTTGATTCCTCTTAACTTTTCACATTTGAATTTTGCTATTTCATTAATTTTAAGAGAAAAATCTGGAATACCAGGTAGTACCTGGTTTTATAAGTGGGAACCCATGCAAGGGCTCTTCAAATGCCTTAGTACTTCCTACCTTTCCATTCTTCTTATATCTTATTCCTTCCCTGCTATCCAATGACACTGGCCTCCTTGGTGTTTCTCACATATAACACTCCATTTCCTGTCTCCAGACATTTTCACTAGCTATCCCCAGTGCCTGGAACACTCTGCTTTCTCATCTCCATTTTCTGACTTCCTGGCATCCTTTAAGTCCTAGCTAAAATCCCACCTTCTGTAAGATGTCTTTCCTGATCCCTCTTAATGCTAGTGCCTTCCTTCTCTGATTATCTCCAGTTTAGCCTTTACAGATCTTATTTGTATGTTGTTGTGTACTTGT